CTACTTTAATCTTAAATTTGTTATAACTAAATTAATTAAAGATAATTTTGGGGTTTCAAATTTAACAATTTTTGACATAATATACAGCACAAAAATTTAAGAAATTCAAAAATTTACAAAATTTGCGTATGCTAAACACCGATAATTAGTTTGGGTCTTAATTAGTGTAATTAGTGATTTAAGTTAGATACAGAAACTCGGTAGAACAGAAAATTTAACTAATTATTTTATTACAATTTTTTTAGTAGTGATGATAAATTGGTAAATATGTATAACAAAATTTAATTATAATATTAATTTTTAAGCTATACATTATACATACATGTAAAATTGTGCAAAAAATTTGCGATTTTTTTATATTTCTATATTAGCAAAAGTTTTTATGTATGTAGAAACCAGAGTTGAGTCGAATAAACTTTTCCAGAAATCTGACCCGATCAGTGATTTCCTCCTTAGTTTTCAGGAATTTAAAGATTGTGCCGTTTTCGAACTAAAGAACTTCTTTATATTTTGCCATTTCGGAATATCTTTTTGCATTTTACCATATAAAACTATTTACAAGTTCATAATTCGGCATACCTTTCACTAAAGTAAATTCATGCGAAAATTTTGTAAAAATGGAGATCTCCCAAAGTATGCTCACAGATTTGGACCAAACTAGTGTCCATCGATCACAAATATAATTAGTATGAAATTTGCAAATGAGTATTTTTCTACAAGTTGTGCAATTCTGCAATAGTTAGACATTCTCAAGGATAAAAAACATAAGAAGTTAAGGTTGGGAAAGTTTTGATATATTAAAAAAAACAAGCTGTGTCCGAAAGTATTTAGGGAATGATTTTCGTTTTATTATTTTTTCCAATTTTTTTAATCTATCCAATTTTCAACTTTGTTTCCATTTTGGTCCTGTGAAATGTTTAAATGCAAAGATTACGAAAAAAATCAAGCTTAAAATCCTTCAAAAATTGGGGAGATTTTAAGAAAAAAAAAATAATTCTGCAAGAGTTACGGAGTAACAAATTTCCGTTTACTTCAATACGCGCTGGAAAGTTTTTACGCCGAGTTAAGGAATTCGAATTAAATTGGATTATCATAATAGACAGATTTCTAACCCAAGGTGTTTTTCATATGCAATTTCACATGCGATTTAGAGCAATTTTACGAAAAGTTTGAAACTTTGTAATTTTTAAAATGTTTGTAAATGTTTACGGATTTTGCAAAGTTTACTATGTTACAAATATCTGAGTATTAAAACTAAGACAAAAAATATTATGGAGAAGATTTACCAAAATATTTTAGTAAATTAAGATTTTAGTGAAAATATTCATGGCGAAAAAATATATTTGCAAACAAATTGCAGAATTTAACAAAATAAACTTGTCCTCGTAGGACAGATATTGGGACAATTCACTCACTTATTTGTTACAATGAATGCGTACAAAATTGTGTAATATTTATTTGGGATATAATTCATGATATCTCTCAGCGTATGCTCTCAGATTTTGATGAAACTACACTCAAAACAAAACGGTGTCAATATATGACTTAACCACCTTGGTTACAATTGTGATTCCGAGTGGTAATGAATTTTTTCCGTCCGGTCATAACATTATAACTCCCGGTATCAAAATCATCCTGACTCGGATTCAACATTGTAACCAAGGCGGTTAAGTCATGTATTGACACCGGCGGTGTTGATTCGACAAATTTTTATTTTGAGTGTAGTCTCAATTGATCATAAATTTAATTAGTATGCAATTTTCAAACGACTAGATCTCCAAAAGGGCTCATTTGGCAAAAATATTTGCATCCGAAGAGGAGAAAACGAGCTGTAAAAGTGTCAAGTTTTTCAACTTTTCAACATTTTCTCCTCTTTGGATGAAAATATCTCCGCCAAGTAACAAATGGGAAATCGTGCCTTTTCCAAATTTCATATTTAATAACTTTGCGATCGATTAATAAAATAAAATAATTTAGCCAAAATCTGAAAGCATTCGCTGGGGGACCTGCTTTGGAAGGAAAATGTGTAAAATTACATAGCTTTACTTACGAATTTTTGTAAATCTACGAAAATAAAATGAGGTTGTAAATGAACTATAAATTTCAATTTGTGGGTAAAACGCTAATTTGAATACCTGTGGTATACACTCGTGTCATATCTAAAAATTTATTTTTAATCGTTTCGTTAAATTTACAAATAAATATTATCGACGCATTTATCTATGTGCCGAAGAAAATTAACAGAAAATCATTGTTACAAACATTTACAAAAATTTTGCGAAGATTACGAAGGAAAATGTATCCTTACTTTTTACTGATCAGAGATTTGTATTTTGTAGACTATGTATGTCACCCAAAGTTTATCTGATTAAGAATATTTTGTGAAAATATTTTACTGTTTATTTATCCATAATGTATTAAAAATAAAATAAACGTTTACGATATGCTTGAAGTATTTATATCGTAAACTTTAAAATTAAATATTGATTTGCCATAAATCAATGAGGCGATTCACGCAGTCTTTGCTAACTTTATAAAACCCGTGCGTTTTGTAAAATAATTTTGCAAACTTTTATAAAATAAAAAGGCGTATTTATTTGATCTGAGAACGTTTATAAAAATTTATGAGCTAATTTTCCTCAGAATTATGTGTAAAATTTTGTAAAAGTTTGTAATTTTACAGAATTTACGGATTTTACAATGTTACCAAGGCCTGCGTGATTAGCCTTGTCCATAGTGTAATTTTTTATTGAAATCAAACATAAACAAAATCTTTTAAATGATAAGCCATACCACATTAGAGAACTATTTTTTTCGACGTTATCAAAATACAAATTATAAACTAGAGACGCCTTGATTATAAAAATTTGGAAAATATCGAAATACGAAGCACGCCACAAATCTATAACAAATGCTTGATACGATTTATTGTGCAATGTACAACTTGGCGTACAAACTGTCCAACTAGAAGTATATTCATAGGGTGAAACCCCTTTATAAGACTGATATGTATGTCCGTCCGTATGTCCGTCCGCGCGATAACTTAAGAACCGTTAGATATATTTACTTGAAATTCGGAACATAAATATTGCATATAAAAACAAAGGTCAAGGTCAAGCATGTAGGTCACACCTATCAAGATCAGAAGATCACATAAAGGTCACCAAACGTTACGTTTGATCCATATATCAACTTAACCGGAAACTTAATCCCGAATTCAATGTTGACCTCCATTTTTGCCTCAAAAGTCATCATATGTTAAATTTGATACATATGTCACAAGTGTTGAATTCATTTTGACGAATGACACACTGGTTTCACCCCTTGGTTACATGCGTTTTTAACGGTTTATTTAAATAATAAAATAGTAATAAAAGCTCTAAATTTTTCAATAACTTTCAATACAAATGTGTGAAACTGTGAACTCGGAATTTTTGCAAACTTCAAATTAAGTGTAATTCAAAACTGACAAAGGATGTGTTATCTTATGTCAATCTGCATATAAAAATTTAACTTACAATTCGGAACTCGGCATTGAAACTTTACAACTTTTTTTAAACTGAAAAGTGTTACTCGGGGGAATTTGTAATTCTAGCAGAATTATTTAAAAAGATTTCGTAATTTTTTATTGGTATTGAGTTGCAATTTGATTTCCCTAATCTCTGAATTTAAACATTTCACTCGATAGAAACCAAGTAAAAAATTAGATAATTTTTTAAATTAGCAACTTGCAATATTATTGCAAATTGCTGCCAAAAATAAAAAAAACACTATCGATTTTGACAGTTTAGAAACCAAGTCAAAAATTAGATATTGCGAGTTGTTGCCAATTAAAAAAAAAACACTCGATTTTGACAGTTTTTAATGCTGGAGATTTCAACGTTAAGTAGACTTTAGAAAAATATTAGCTCGTCGAAATTGACTGAACTTAATTTTTAAAAGAACTCTCCGCCATGCTATTGATCAACGTATTACAAATTGGTCGTCCAGAATTTCAAATTAAATTCTCAGAGATGAGAAATGATTAAAAATGCAATTTTGCAGATGAGTCATCAAGTCCTACATATGTTGAATGGATAGAAAAATGCTAAGAATTTCATGCTGAATCCAAATATCAAGTTTCCTCCAGAGCGTATTTTAGAATGCAATTTTACTTTCCTCCAGTAATACCGCAAATCACAGAAATCACAATTTCATCACCAGGTGTGAAAATCACAGAAATCACAAGTTAATCAAAGTGTGATTATCACAAGTCACTCCTCATTGTCACAAAAATTCTGCAGTAAATGCTTTGAGCTTATTTTGCTCGGTTATTATTTTTATTTACCGGGTTTACAAATTTCAGAATTTCAAAAGTAACATGATTTATGAATCATGTTAAAAGTGAAGTAACTTAAAACGTAAAGTTTAAAATCCTGTAATGATTTTAAGAAGTAATTAATTAAGTTAATAGTTTATTCAGATTAAATAGAATTGTTCGTGGTATTAGAGTTGAAGGAAATTCTATTCTTCTAATCTTTTAATTAGATTTAAATTTCCTTTAATCCTCTATAATTGTTAGTAAATTAAAAATTCAAAACAATTTAAAATGAGTATAAAATTTAAATTAAAAGAAATATTTTTTTTTGATTTATGCAATTAATCAATTAAATTTCTCGGGTCTGGAAATTTATTTCTAAATTATGAAATGGAAGATCGATTGACCAGGTCGTTGCCAATTTTTAGAAATATATACTCCAGATTTTGACATTTTTAAGGAGGGGATTTCAAGTTTAAGAAGCCTTCAGAAAAATTGAAACGCATCGAAACTGACTTAAAAAAACTCACCGCCATTCTTATTAAATAATCAACTTACTGATTTTAAAATAAATTGCCAGGGACGAAAAATTAATAAAAATTTGTTGATTTTATGGATTTTGGTAAAGAGCAATCGAACGTAAACATTAAATTCTAAAAATTCAAGAAAGTTTGACATATGAATGATGAACCTTATGCATTAAATATGTTACAACTAAATTAATTAGCCACAAAATAATTACAGGGTTTTAAACTTCACAATTTACAATTTTTGACATAATGTAGAGACAAAAATTTACAGAATTTGTGTAGTCTAAAAACCGATAATCAGTTTTTGGCTTAATTAGATTATTGTGGTTACGAAGTTTAATTTGGCGGAAATTTTGATGACGGAAAATCGTTACGAATATGATGTAACGTTCCAATGAACGGTGCCAATTTTATTACCAGCTTAACATTTCGACTTTAATACATGCATGTTTTATATGTACTAAATACCGAAATTTATTTTTCCACGATCCTGAATGTCGAACTTTTTCAAATCCAACTACTTTTTTTGCATTAATCATGCCATGCCAAAAAGACGGTCCAAAAAACTTGCCAAATAATCTTCTATGTTTTTGCACCATTCATTTTGATGCCGAGAAATCAGAATTTAAACGAATCCGTTTATTACTTTCATCGCTAGAAGATTCTAAATTTCTGTCTTCGCTAACTTCTCGCGCAGATGTTGACGACGTTTCCTGTTCTGATGTTGTGGTTGAGGTGGCTTCCTGAAGCACGTGGCTGGCACGTGGTCGCTGGAGGGCACTCCTTCCACCCGCCGTGTAGCTGAGGTGGAGCAGTTTGGCGGCTTTGATCGTATCGCCGGCGCGGTACGCCTGCACCCAGGCGGGTAGCGCCACCCCGCGAGATCGCAGCTGCGCCTCCTAAAAAATTAAGCGGGAAATTTAAAAACAGTGCTTTAATTTAACATTTAATATTCATATTTTAAGTAAGCGCCTATCAATTTGGTAGCAAAATTGTTACCCATTTCGGCGGGAACAAAAATTTACCTAGCGATGAGGCAAATCACACAGGCCTTGGTAAAATTGTAAAATCCGTAAATTAATCAAACTTCCAAATTATTTCTGAGGAAATTTAGGTTACAAACTTTTATAAACAGATCAAGGGCGCCTTTATATTTTGTAAGAATTGATACTTACGTTACAAAATTTACGGATTTTACAAGTTACCAAGGACTGTTTGAGTTGCCTCAATAAAAACCTAATACGACACTGGTAACAATTTTATTGATTTAAATTTGACGCGAAATTGTTATCTTGACTTACCAATTGTCTCAAATTTTCCATAATAGCCTCCCGATTAGATAATGCTTGTTGTCCTGGGGTGACGTTAACAGATTGGTGACAATTTGGACATGTCACTGATGACGAACTACTTGTCGAAGATGAAGTTGAAGGAAATTGTTGTCTTCTTGATAACGTCGCTTGGGACAGGACACGTAACGTCGTCATGACTTGCGCCATGTCGGGCTCCTCTTCAGTAGAAGATGTCGAAAATGTCGAAGATGTCGACAATGCTGAAGATATTGAAAAAGTCGACGATGTCGAAGGTGCCGAAAATGTCGACGATATCGACGATGCTGAAGTTGTCGAAGATGTCGAAAAAGCCGAAGATATCGAAGATGTCGATAACGCCGAAGACGTCGAAGATATTGAACTTGCCGTCGTCTGAGGTTGCAAATTGGTCCTTAAAGAAGCACAAGGATTGCTACTTGTCGAGGATGACGACGACGAACTCGGGATTAAAGGTGGTTCCGATGATGAAATGTCTGAAAATCAGTAAAAAAAACTCAGTCGAATGTTTTGTAACCCAGTAAAAATTGAATTCAAAATAACTTCTTGGGAACGTTCAGAAACTATGCATTCAGATTTTTAAAAAATCGGTGAATAAGATTTAAAACCTTTCTACAATTATCCGATAAAATATATTTAAGAATGTAAAATTTGGCGTAAAAACTGATCAATTTGGCCGAATTTATTTATGTTTTCTGGAAATTTAAAGGAAATTCATGTCCATATTTTCTGAAATTGTGTAATTCTCCCAGAATTGTTTAATTTTTAAATACATCCAAATTGTATGTAACTTTTAACAAAAATGGGACCTGATTTCCTTCATAATTTTAACAACTATACAAGCTTGATTGAAGCAAATTCACGGGGAAATTTGTTACTTGTCAAAATGTGTAACTCTGGTACAATTGCATTATTTAAAAAAATGCTTCCAATTTTTTGCAAGTTTTAATACATATTCAAACTAATTTCTCTCGTAATTTTTGCAAATGTAGATATTTTACTATATCTCAGAGGAAAACAATATCTTTTTACATTTTGGGTACAAAGTATATTTTGAAATTCATACCTCGTCATTTAAACTTTACAACTTCCATCTTATCAAATTCATGTGGAAATTAGTTATTCGGTAAAATGTGTAACTCTGGTAAAATTGTTTGATTCAAATAGTTTCGTCAATTTTTTCAGTTTTTTTTCAATTTCAATTTTTTAAATTTCAATGTTTCAATTTTTTCTTTCAATTCACAAGTGACCTTCGTTCCTTCGTAATTTTTGCAAAGCTAAAGATTTTACCGAGTGACAAACAAACATCGCTGTAATAAAAAAGATGCGATCTTTCTGCATTTTACGCATACAATTTATGTCTAAATTCACAACTCGGCATTAAAACTTTACAACTTTAATTGGAACAGGTTTACGCAAAAATTGGTTACAAATTAGAAAATGTGTAACTCTGGTCACCGGTAGAATTGCTTTATTTATAAAAGAAATGCCGTCATTTTTTTGTAACTTTCGATTCGTATGTGACCTTATTTCCTTCGTAATTTTTGGAAGGAAGATATTACTGTGTTATCCTACTGAAATCGAGTTTGACCTTTGTACATTTTAACAATATAATTTATTTTCAAATTCATAACTCGGCACTAGAACTTTACAACTTTTATCGAAATTCACCCAGAAATCTGTTGCCAGAAAAAATGCGTAGCTCTGGTGACATTGCTTTGTTAAAAAAAATGCTCTAAATTTTGTGCAACTTTCGATACACATGTGACCTTATTTTACTGCGTTACAAACATTCCAATAAACAAGGGAATTCAAGTGACACGATCTTTCTACATTTTGAGTATGCCATTTAATTTGAAATTCATTACTCGGCATTAAAACCTTACAATTTTCACTGAAGAAAATTCACACCGAAATTTATTACTCGGTAAAATGTTTAACTCTTGCAGAATTCTTTGATAAAAAAATGTAATCAACTTTTGAAAGATTTGTGACTTTATTTCCGTCCTAATTTCTGCGTTGAAACATTTCACACGATCGAAATAAAAACAATAGAGAGTTAGAGATTCCTTGTACTTCGACTGTAGACTGTACTGTGGACTCTAGATGATGACGTCATCAGCTTTTTGTACTAATTCTACAGTCTACAGTACACAAATTGAAACACGGGCTCAGTTTGTACTACTGTGGAAAAATCAAGGGTTGGCAAGTAGGATATCTCCAGAACGCCTCAATATAATCAGACCCCGTTTGCGCCATTTTGCTTCTAATTTTTGACCCTAGGTCCAGTTCGACGATGGGCGCCCTGTGGTCAAGGTCAAGGTCACCCTGGCGTGAAGTAAACGCAAAATTCAACTTTAATTTTCATATGCGGTGTCATTTTAAAGGAAATTTCACGAAGAATTCATCGTCGTCAATACTTTTGACCTCCGACCAACCCATAATCGAGAGGACGAGGTCAAAGGTCAAAATTGAAGTGTCGACTGTTTTAGACTTGGGTTTGGGCGCGAATTTCAGAAATTGACACAGTTTTAACGTGCGAAGACCCCGAGACCACGTAGACCAGGTCAAAGGTCAAAAATGTTTATTTTTTATTTGGACCGTTGCAGACGTGTTTAGTTTGAGGCGAGGAGTTCAAAAATCACAATCGTTTCGGATTACCTACATCAGCCTGGTGATTGTTGTAAACGAGGTCAAAGGTCAAAAATATCGAATTTTAAGTTTTGAACATTTTACACAATTTGTGGAAGGAGGTTCATTTCGTATATCATGAGTTGATTTGTCTCAATTTTTGATGCATCTATTTCGCGGAGTTCTACAATACAATTTTTCAGAGTACAAAATAATGGAAATTCTCTAGGTCTTTTGAATTTTGTACTAATTTTTGTATTGTATTGTGGCCACAGTACAGTACAAGTAAAAATGCAAAAAATCTCTAAGTCTCTAATATTGAAAGTTAGATAGATTTCAAAAAAGGAAATAGTGAAAATCGTTCGTCGGACAAAAGTAAAAAAAAGAATAGTTTTGGTCATCCGAAATAGTTTATTTGGAAATATATCAAAATTTTCCACCTTTAAATTTAGATGTTTTTTACCCTGTAAAATGTGTGACTATTACAGAATTAGACAATTTGTAAAAAAGGGCCCTTAATTTTTGGAGTAAGTTTACTATAAATTTGAGACTTCATAATTTTTCACGGAAAATGTTTGTAAATATTTCCGGATTTTGCAAAGTCTACAATGTCACGAACCTAAGTTAATTGCAGTATTAAATTAGAACCAAGGTTTTTTGGAAACGATTTAGTGTTTTAGCTGGTCAAGATTCTAGCGAAATTCATGGCTAAAACAATATACGTATTTGTAAACAAGTACAGAATTTTACAAAAAAGCTTGTCCTCGAAGAACAGGTATTGTGACAATTCACTCAAACAAATACGTACACAATTGTGAAAACTTGGCAAAATTATAAAATTTAAGTAAGGTTATTATTTACTTACAAAAGCCTCTCATGAGTTAACCACATACTTTAATAACCACATGACCATTAACGTTAATGAATCTCTTTGCTACCTTGCACTTCTTTATTCCAAAACTTTACCATCAACGCCAAACTCGATCAATTTGGCCAAACTCAATGATGCAAAATTTACTCAGATTTTTATAACACAGCAAACTCTAACCCAATTCATGCAGATTTTGTAACTTGTAAAATCCGTACGTATTGCAAAATAATTTTACAAACTTTTGCAAAATAAAAAGAATCCCTTGATCTGAGTAAGTTTTCACAAATTTGGAAGCTAATTTTGCTCAGAAATATTTTTAAAAGTTTGTAAAAGTTTGTAATTTTACAGAATTTACAATGCTACCAAAGCCTGCCTGAATTGTCTAATTTTTTTATGTGGCAAAATTGACCCTATTCAGAGTTGTCAATCTAGTTTATGCCGAACATTAATTTAATGGGTTATAAATTTATCAAAATATTTATGTTTTGTCAAAATAAATAGACTCGGAAACGAAAATTCAGATTGTAAAATGTTTAGTATTTTGAGAATTTAATGAAAAAATAGATTAAGATTTGCCAGCTAACGTTTAAGAATAAAAATTATTAAATTTGAGAACAGTAAACTCTACAATCGAGCAGTTCAATCAGTCCTTGGTAACTTTGTAAACTTTGTAAAATCGATAAACTTCGAAACTTATATTTCAAAGGAAAATTGTGTAATTTATAAATTTTTGCAAGGTTACCCATTGCCAGATAATGGGCGTCTTTTTTATCTGGTCAAAGTTTGTAAAATTATTTTACAAAATGTAAAGGATTTACACGTTATTAATGACTACTTCAACATTTATGCAGTCCAAAACTTCCAAAATTCTAGGTACGACTTTTTAAAAGCTCATTTCGCATAGGAATTGTTGTTTCGAAACTTGACACAAAGCTGACATGTTGACAATGACACAAGAAATTCAGATTTATGCTAGCTTTGGATTTTTTGATAACTTCAAAGAATTTTATGTTTCCGAGTCCCACACAAATTTATGCCAAGCTCTTTCACTCAGTAGTCAAATTTCCCAGAAATTACGGAGTTTAGCAGAAATGAATGTCGCTATGTTTATTCGGGGACAATTTTGTTACCAAATTATTTTTCGCGTAGCCACGTGGGAACTTTTACGATCAAAATTTGATTTGATCCACTTTATAATTTAGCATATTGAGGAAAGTTAGATTATTTTTAAAATCCAGTATTAAAATCATACCAAGCGGTATTCATATATGACACTAGCAAAGTGGTATTTCGAAATAATACCGTGTAGTAATACCTCGGTATTACACTTTTACCATACCGGTAGCAAATTTTTACCGACCGGTACAATTTTAACACCAAGCGCTAGCAACTTTACTACCGAGAAATCAATACCTGCCTGACTATACCAGATTTCTAACAGTATATCAATTCTGACACGTCACCCACTCAATATGTAAAACTGTATTCCTTATTTAGGTATGTAAAAAATATTACCATGATTACACATTCTCTGCTGGAATGAAATTCAATACCGTTTCGTTACTATGCCAACAACACTTTCGTTTTTTTACGTAACGTTGGTTAACCTTCTCGTCCAATGACACTGGCTGAATGACCCGTTTTAAAAGTATGGTGCCACTATAAGCTGGGAAAAATTCATGAATAACAATCACCTCATGAGATTCTGGTATTAGGGGCCATCCATATATTACGTCATAAAAAATTCTCCATTTTACCACCCACCCACCCAACGTATACAGGGTGGTTATAATGTCCGGCTACAATGGAAAGTTTTTCGATGGGAAAAATTCGTAAATTTCCATTAGTTACGGAAATTTTGTCTCTAAAATTCAACATTTTAAGAATTTTGTCATCAGTTTTGATAATAGATACATGGGGCAGCCATAGCATATAACTTATAACTTAAAATTATGACGTATAACTTAACTTATAATTATAAATAGATACATGGGGCAGCCATGGACATATAACTTATAACTTAAAATTATGACGTATGACTTATTTTATAAGTTATAAGTCATAGAAACGCCATAAGGCGACGTATATTTATAATTGTAAGTTAAGTTATACGTCATAATTATAAGTTATAAGTTATATATCCATGGCTGCCCCATGTATCTAATATACGTCGCCTTATGGCGTTTCTATGACTTATAACTTATAAAATAAGTTATAAGTTATATATCCATGGCTGCCCCATGTATCTAATAATTATAAAAATCTCAATCCCAAATCTTGTAACTAATGAAGATTTGGGGACTTTTCCCATTGAAAAATTTTCCACTGTAACCTGACATTTAAACCACCCTGTACATTAAGGGATAGGGAATTTTAACATGGGAAAGATAGGAAGACTTAAACCACCATCCCTTAAAATGATCACGTAATACATGGACGTTCCCTAAAACCGCGCCGTTCATTATGACGAACTGTAAATAATTCGGTAACAAAATACTACCTCAATGTGCGGAAGGGGAAGTTTGCTCAGGAATTTGTTTTCACTGGATTAAGTGATAAGTCATGATTTATGACACGTTAAAATTCTGCGGAAAATAGGTAGCGTCATTTCCTGCAAAATTCCAAAATTAATCATATTATGTACACTCAAAAAAGTGTGGTTACAATTACATATAACCAGAAAGTAAACATATAAGACTCCACCGCCATGGTTATAAATTTGTCACCACTTGTATCAAATTGGTTATTAGTGGTGATAGATTTATAACCAGTGGGTGATAAATTTATAGACATAGCGGTGGAGTCATATGTATCTGCTTACTTTCTGGTTATAGTCGTAACCGCATTTTTTAGAGTGTAACATGCACACCCTTAAAAGTCCCTGTTGGACTCTAAGAAATTTTATTACCGGATTATTACCGACCGGCGATATAAGACCGGTTGATGATCACATGTCACTACGTGGAAATATCCCATAACCGGCTCTGTGTTACTCGATCACCACGGCAAAAATCGCGATCATCAGAGCCGGTAGAGTATAGTAACGTGCATCACCGAAATTTTTAGTGTTTTTCGAAAAATAAAATGGCCGGTTTATTATTTTTTATGCATACTAAAACTTCGATATATGCTTTTCAAAAAAGCAAGTTCAACTGTTACATCTAAATTAAGGAAATATGTAATAAACAGAGCGCACCGCTAAATTAAGCTAAACTTTTTATTTAAAGAACTTGAAGTAATTTCATTTATTAAGAATTTTAACTCTTTAAGGCCGTAATCATATGAAATTTTAAAAAACTCCACGATTAATTGACCATCGATAAATTAGCATTGGCCATCATTTGGGAGGAATTATTACAAGAAATTGATTCATAGTCTGGTACTTTAAATACTTTGCTAAATAGTTTGCTAAATAGTTTTGCATACATAATTTAATTTGCACATAAATGAAGACCTGCTGCATGCTGAATGTTTTGCTCTGTCTCCTTCATTTACATATTTAACGTTGAACAAACCGCATAGGTTTTGGGCTCTTCTGATATTTGGCACAACTCCCCTTTTTTGCTTCGTAATAAATAATGTTGACATTTTCTATAATTTTTTAGCGTACACATATATTTATTAAGAATCCATTTGGTCAGAAACAAATTATTAAAGACTTAATTAATTATTTAGAGTGTATTTTTTGTAACCTCATACCCAGGTTTCTCATGAGGCAGCTATAAATACAGACAAAAATGGAGGCCGGCTCATGAATTCTTATGAATTTGTGTATGGAATTTTCCACTGCTCATGAAAAGCTCTCGTTAATCTGGCATTTCTCATGAAAATGCCATCAATCATTAACCTCTGCGGGGTTTCGATACGCAAAACCAGGACACGTTTATGCTTGAGGTGAATACGAAAATTCAGATAAACCCATTAAATATGTGCATAATTGTCAATTTAAATGAGACAAATTACGCAATTCTTGTGGTAACGTTGTAAATGCATACAAGGCGAACTTTTATACGGAGAAGGTGTTGCCAATGACGTGTGTAAGTTTGAGTAGTAATGTTTTTCTTGGGAAATTTTTTGAAAATTGGGTGGGTTTACAAATTTTACGGTGACGCAATTCACGTAGTCCTTGGTAACTCGGTAAAATCTGTAAACTTGCAAACTTTTGCGAACTTTCACAAATATTTCGGAGGGAAATTAGCTCCAAAATTTTTGTTCAGGTCTAGGGCGTCTCTTTATTTTGTAAACGTTTCCAAAATTATTTTTATAAATTTCCGAATTTCACAAAGTTACCATGAACTACGTGAATTATTTAAGTGTTTTCAAAGTTATATAAAATTTGCGTGAATATTTTACAAGAATAATGTACATGAAAACGAGCGAAAAAATTATGCAGATAGCGAAAGGACCTCTTTTTTAAGTGTGAATTAATATATCGTTTTTTTTAGAAAAAAGGATAAACTTTGTAACTTTACACGGATACAAATGTATGTACATACATATTTGTGACCAATTTACATAATCAATATGTAATTAAAAACTTAATCATTTAGTTAATATGGGACAACTCTGACACCTGTAGTTAATTATTTATTAAGTCATCATCTCAAAATTATCTTGATTGACGTTTAACCTGCACAATTTATAATTTTATATCCAATTATAAATTTGCACAATTTACACAGTTTACAAAGTTGACTGGATTAAGCTTTTGGGAATTTAATAATGCGTAATTTGGGTCATCACATAAAAAATTCCACGAGTTTGTTGATTTTATCAATTTGTTATTGTGTCATATTGACACATTAATCAATTTACGTAAGTATTTAACTTGGATCATGATCATGTTTACGTACATTAAATGCGTCGTAATGAATTTACGCATTTTCCAGACATGTTACGAATCCCTGCGGTAATCCAGTGTAAAATTCCGCTTTGTCGTGGTAAAATATGTGCAAATATTTGTCTATAAGCTTGCAATAAATTCATGTCCTTTGTGTAATCCGAGGTGCTTAGCGTCGTACGGATTTTACATGTTTCATAGCTTATAAAGTTTTTCGTTTTGTATTTAAAATTTCCGAAATTTCCGAACCCTCCTAAAACCTGAATTTGCAAATTAGAGTTTTGCAAATATTTAGCGTCAAAATAAAAATCCGTGCTAATTTTATTAGGCAAACTATAGTTCAATTGGATGATTTATTACTGGTGAGCTAGGTTTAAAGACATGTGCTCGAATGTTTGCGAATATCGTGATAAAATTAATATAGAAAACTAAGAAAAAAATAAAATATGACGGACTAAATCGCTTCTCAGAACGAGCAAGCGAGCTAATATCCTGCTGAACTTTTAAGAATCGAGTTTTTATCTGAATTTGTGTTGAGCAAAATCATGAATGCGTTGTTCTGTTCATGAATGGTTCATGAATCGTACTTCTGATGTATAAACTAAGCTTACGAAGAAATACGACATGTGTACTGTATACTTTTTTATTAATAAAAATTAACCGGGACCTTGTACATCATAACTCATCGTCACTTCCATGTAATATTCGACACTCGAGTTGTCACTCGTGCTTATGCAATTTATAACAAAGTGTTTTTTATTGGTTAGAAAATGACTGGGATTTTAGCTCCGAGTAATGAGTTCGTTTCTTAATCATCGGAAGTGTGCTTATCTGTGTACCCATTTTTAACAAAATTTATCAAAAAATTACCAATTTTTATTACCAGACATGTATTTTACTAAATCTGCCTGGTGAGAAGTTACTACTATTCAATTTTGTAAGAATTACTGATACCATTTGGTAACGTGGAAAACCGTTACCAACCGCGATAGCAACAATTAATAGCTTTATCATGAATTTATGATTTCGTATGCTATAAATAAATTTTTATTTTTTCTTTATTTTAGAAACATTCTTTCAATTTTATACTTAAAAAATTAGTAAGTTATTGCTATTTAAGTACAAATGTCACATCTTGGTACCAATATTTTGCACTAAATAACAACAACTTTTTATGGAGTCAAAATATTGATACTTGTTTTTTTTCAAAGGATGGCATCTTGTAATTTTTACAGATAATTTAACACAAATTAATAATATAGTTCAAAAAAATATTTTGGTAACTAATTTTGATAAGCAGATGTCATCTATTTTGTTATTAATGGAAATTTTAGCAAAGTTTAGTTTCCGAATGTAGTTGTAGGTTCACGCCGTAATCTAAATCAGTTTAAAATTCATTGTGCAAAGTTAATTATGCAGATACGTATTTCAAAAATGTCATGTATTTCAAAATAAGTATAAATACAACTTTTTATAATTTAATGTAAAGTTAATTTTTGTCAGTACAAACTCCTCTAACTTTAAAAATTTCCTTATTTATTGACCATATTTAAAATGAATGATCAAGTTCGTAAAAATATTTTAGCAATTAATTTTGATTAGCAGATGTCATGAAATTAGCTATTTTTTAATTGATGGGAAGTTTACTTTCTGAATTTAAGTTGTAGTTTCACGCCTTAAATTAAATTAGTTCAAAATTAATAGTGCAAAAATAATTTTCAGATGTTCCAAGATTCAGCTTCAAAATTTCATACTGTAATCCAAGGTCATTTTTTATT